TCCAGTTGACCTGGTCTAATTAGCACATTACCCTTTTATTAGCATAGATTAGTCAGCTCAGACAGCCATAACAAAATACCATAAATTTGTGTGGCTTAAACAACAGAAATGTATTTTTATCACAGTTCTGGAGGCTGGAATTTTGGGTCAGGGTACCAGCATAGCATCGTCCCATACACCAGAAAGTGGTGGATCGATTGATAGTCAGGGCACATGCCCAGGTTGCAGATTCAATATCCATTCCAGTGAGTGCAGGAAACAACAGAACAATGTTTCTCTCTCTCTCCCTTTTTCTCGCTGAGATCAAGTATAATGAACTAGAAGTCCAGTGCATGAAATTCGTGCACTCAGAGGAGTCCTTCAGCCTGGCCTGCGCCCTCTCGCAGTTTGGGAGCCCCCAGATCGATGCCCCGCAAAGGAAGGAGCTCTGCGATAGATGGCAGCCAGCAAAGAGGGAGTCTGTACCCACCCTGCCCAGGCTCTGTGATTTATGCTGCACAGAGGGAGGCCCTTCATACCTGATCTGGGCTCTACCATTCATCGCCGTCCACAGGAAGGCCCTGCCCACCCTGCTGGGGCTCTGGGATCAATCACAGAGCAGAGGGAGGCCCTTCCTACCCAGCCTGTGCTCCACCATTGATCCCTGCCCACAGGTAGGCCCTGCCCACCTGGCCGGGGCTCTGCGATGGGCCCTCCAAGCCATGGCGGCTTGCCTTGGACCTTGCAGCCGCGGCTTTGTCCGGAAGGACATCTGGAAGACATTCGGTCTATCTGGTCTAATTAGCATATTACCTTTTTATTAGTATAGATGATAAATAAATAATGTTCTCTAAGTATGGTTTTAACAGGAAAGACATTAGTGATCTATGAAGTGAAAGACTCATTATAACACATATATACAGCATGACCCCATTTAAAAAATATATATTTATTGATTTCAGAGGAAGGGAGAAGGAGAGAGAGAGATAGAAACATCAATGATGAGAATCATTGATCAATTGCCTCCTGCATGCCCCTACTGAGGATCAAGCCTGAAATTTGATCAGGAATCATATCATGACCGCCTGGTTCATAGATCGATGCTCAACCACTGAGCTCCACCAGCCAGGCCCCATTTTTATCAATACCAGGCACATGAGGTACATTGGCAAGATCTCACTCCCAGACGAAAGTCTGAAATTGCCTAAACTTCTTTGCAGCTAGATTTCTCGATGTGAATTCATTTCTGCTGGTTGGATGCGCTTACACAATATTTTGAAGACAGGAGTGGGGCAGAGTCATCTTCCTGCAGTGTGGGCTGTTTGCTGCTGGTGATCATGTTTGCAGAGATGTGGAGGTTTTCTGCAGCGGAATCCAGGCCGTGCACAGACAGTTGTGGCAGAGGCAGTGCCCAGTGACCTGTTTTGTGGGAGCTGGAGGGCACTTGTGGGGACAGCAGATTCCTGATCCCTGGGTCACAGCTGTGCCAGAGTGTCTCAGAATTCAGTTCTGACTGAGGGAGCAGCTCCTCCCGCTGGGCAGGGAGCCTTTCCTGGGGGCCCAGCCTAATACCCACTCCTCCAGCTTCCCGATGATTTCCCAAGCACCAATTCCCTGTGCTAAATTCTTTCCTGCCTAAAATAGCAAAGATCTAAAAACATTTTGGATCCTCTACTTTCAACGAAAACAATGCTGCACAGGGTCAGGTCTGAGAAGTGGGTGAGGTGTTGCAGAAGGCTCCCTTCTTTGAGTCTCAGCTTCCTCTACTGTAGAACCGAGACCAAAGATTATCTGTTCATAGTTACTGAAGACTGTGACAGCTATGTTTCCCGGAGATGGCTACAACATTTCTTATCCCTCCTGTGGCCTTGCCACTTTCCTCCACATCCTCTCTCTTGAAGTGTGGCTGACCTCTGAATTCCAAGGCCAAGGCCAAAAAGTGTTTCCAGCTCCGGCCCTGCCCACACCACTTGGGGCTCTGTCTGGTGCAGGGCCTTGCCTTCCTGGCTCACATCCCCTCCCATCAGTGGCCCAGCACCTCACTGCATATCATGGCCTACCTTCTGGTGCTGCTGGGCCCAGCAGGTGGGGTAAGAGCCCATGTCGTACATCACACCTCCTGGCTCCTGTGTGCTGCTGCCCCCTGCGCCCCGCGGCCCCTATTCCTGCCGCTGTTCTGACCTGGGCCAGATGCCCAGGTGCTGTGCATGGCCCATGGGGACTGCTGTGGCCACCAGGAAAGCCTCCCCACCCCATCCCCGACTCCAGCACCCCGATCCCAGGACCACTTCCGCCAAAGGAGAGCTTTGCCTGTGCAGCTGCCCGAGACTGAGACCAAGCAACTCCAAGGTCCCTGGACCCCAAATTTCTGAAGCCAAGGTGGTTGGCTGGCTGGCCCTGCCCTGATCGGGGTGTTGGGGGCAATCCAGCCTGGATCAGGCCAGTTTGCTGGCCACAGTGGGTGTCATAGCGACCAATCATTAGGTCATTATGGTCATGATGGTGTTACAGTTTCTAGCTTTATATAATACTAGAGGCCCGATGCACAAAAATTTGTGCACTTGGAGGGGAAGGGGGGGGCATCCCTCAGCCAGGCCTGTGCCCTCTCGCAGTCTGAGACCCCTCGGGAGATAACGACCTGCTGGCTTAGGCCTACTCCTGGGTGGCAGAGGGCAGGTCCAATCCCCAGGTGCAGCCCCTGTTCAGGCTCAGAGCAGGCTGATTGGGGAGTTGGGGCACCGCCCCCTGTCATGCACAGAGCAGGGCCCATCAGGGGGTTGAGGAGGTCCCCTCTGTCACTCACAGAGTAGGGCTGATAGGGGAGTTGGGGCACCGCCTCCTGTCACACACAGAGCACGGAAGATCAGGGGGTTGGGGTGCCGCCCTCTATCACCCACAGAGCAGGGCCGATCAGGTGGTTGGGACGCCGCCACTCTCACACTCAGGGCACGGCTGATGGGGAGGTTATGGCTCTACCCCGTCACACACAGAGCAGACAATGTGTTAATAATTTTAAAGATATTCTTGATTAGTGGCACCCAAACTTCAATGAAATACTGAAAGACTGTAGTTAGTTCTAAGTCTCTCACTAACTAATGGCATGATTTAGCTAATTGCACTTACATGGAATTTATTAAGTTGAACCATTTGAAATTTCCATTTTTATAGCTGATAAATAGATAAATACGATAAATATGCATTAATTCAGTTGGTTCAATTTACAACTCAAATATGAAGACTGTGAGCAGGCAGGGGACAGGTGCTTCCAAGGTTGGCTCAGTTTGTCCATCTAGAGAAAATGAAAGCATTTTTTCCTAACTGAATCACCCAGAAGATGTGCATTTTCACAATCGTATAAATAAAAGGAGTACTTTTTTCTAATACAAAAAGACATACGCAAAATCACTGCCTATCTTGGGTTCTCAGGTTTGTTTTTAAAGAGGCAAAATAGTGCCCTAGCCAGTTTTGCTCAGTGGATAGACAATTTCTTACCATTATAATCTGTGCTTATTCTAATTGCTAATTTCCAAAGTACTAAGGCTTAGAATATGGGGAAGTTAATTTCAGTACATTTGACCTCTCCTGGAGAGGTGTCTTTAGTCCATTTTAAATAGGTGAGACAAGGTCCATTGGAGCCTAGCACTTTTATAAGTTACAGATCCTGGTAATTCTAAGTCCATTATTTTAGAAAACTAGAGGCCCGATGCATGAAAATCTGTGCAGGAGTAGGCCTTCCTTCCCCAGCTGCTGGCACCGGCTTCCCTCCAGCACCCAGGACCCGGGCTTCTCTCCTCCGGTCGCTGGCAGGCACCTGAGACCCAGGCTGGCTTCCCTCTGGCCTGACTTTGTCAGGAAGGACGTCTGGAAGACGTCCAATCTAATTAGCATATTACCCTTTCATTAGTATAGATATTCACCAGGATATTCAGGCCAGCTTCTCCTCTAAGTGGAAGGCAGTGAAAAAAAGTGCTAGGGAATTACTTTCACTAGTGTGGCTTAGTTCTGGAGCCCATCCTGTATCTAGTTCAAGGTACAATTAGAGGCTCAGTCTTGGTCTTAACCCTTGGCCTGTGTAGTAAGGGGTAAAGAGAGAAGTCTGCAATGAGAAGGGAAGTAAGACGTGTTGTGTAGACAAAATCAATAACTTCAGGGCTTTAAAGTTACCACTTGTAGACTGATAGGAATCACCTACTTTTTCATGAAATTCCATAGCATTATTCCCATCAACTTTTCCTGGGATCTTATCTTTGTAATATTTTGTAAGTACTAAAGTGTCACACATAGTCACATGAGAGAGACTGTTTTTACCAATAGCCCTGCTACCCTGCATTAAGGAGATTAGGTAAGAAATAGATGGTGGCAATAATCTATATATATGAAAGCCTAATATGCAAATTGTCCTTGTGGGAGTTTGACTAGGAGACTGATCACTCGCTATGACATGCACTGACCACCAGGGGGTGGTACGGAATGAAGGAAGGCCCTGGCCGGCAGCAGAAGCCCCAATAGGCTCTGAACACCAGCCAGGCCTAGGGACCCTACCCACGTATGAATTTCATGTACCCGGCCTCTAGTTGGAAAATAAAAGCATTCCATGCTTATTTCCAAATCAGTGGAGACGTGTTCATCACACCAATTATGGTCATGCAAAACCAAATGCAGAAATTGCAGTTTTGTCCCACATGTGTGAGCAAGATGCTGACTGCGTCACTCCCACGTCCAAGTGTAGCTCTGCTGAATGGAATCCCTCTTACAATGAGCCAAAGCATGCACTTTCAGTAGAGAAGAGCCCCGAAAATAATGTACTTCTATAGTGTTGATCATTCCTATTCCTCCTGGCTCTTACAAATTTGGGGCTGGTGGGGAGTGGGGAGAAACTCTTCTATTACAAATTTTCTCTGCTGTGCCCTCCACAAATGCATCTTTGCTGTGCTTTTAGGGTGGAGGAAAGTTTTTCAGAATTTTTGGGTCTTTTTAGGAGGTAAATAAGTGTTTTATATTTACATAAACATTTAGTCAGACTTGCAAGAAAATATTTTCATTGGCTTTCCCCAAAAGTTTTTTATATACTTTAAATCCATATTAATTTTTTACTTGGACTCTATCATTCATGAACCATTTCTCTGCCCATTTATTATCCCACCTATGTGCCCATTATGTTTAGATTGGTTTAATAGTGTGATATGGATCCCTCAAAAAATGAGTCATTTAATAACTATCACTAAGGACATAATTAGTCTCTCATTTACTAGTGGCCCTGAGTCATTCTCAGAATAAGTCATACTCAAGAAAAGATAAATGAGCCAACTGAAAAAAATGAACAGCTTTACCACATTAAGTAAAGTATTTCCAATGGCATTTTACTTTTTGTATTTAAGACTTATTTATCAAGTATTATTAAATGTTTATGGAGTTGTGGTCAATACTAATCATAATACTAGCACTACTAGAATTAATAATAAAGGTATGATAACTTGTCCTAGAAAAAAATTCCTAAAGCCATAAAGTTATACAATTTTTAATTAAAAATTTTATGTATATACATAATTATCCTAAAGGGATGTATAATAAGGAAATTGATAAAATAATTCCAACTGTAAGTATATATTACATTTGAACAAGATTCAGAGAAGAATAGTGGAATGGATTCGAGGAGAAAAAGAAATGATAAATTTCCTAATAGTTAAAGATGATCTTGCTAATGTGTTTTTAAAAATTGAAAATAGTGATAGGCAGCCTCTACAGGATGGACCACGATGATCTCCGCCGCCTGGTATTCATGCCCTGAGTAAACCCATCCCCTTGAGGGTGGGCCCGACCTAATGACTTGCTGCTAACAAAGAGTACAAACACAGCAAAAGTGATGGGGCGCAACTTCTGAGACTAGGACACAAAAAGAGGGTGAAATCTGTCTCGCTCATCCTCTTTTGTTTTCTCTCTCTCTCTCTCACTCTTTCACGTTCTGTCTTTCTGAGTGTCATGTTGTAAACTGCCCTATGGAGAGCCCCATGTGGCCATTGGCCAGCACAGAGCCAGCCCCTCAGTTTAACAGCTCAAAAGGAACGGAATCCTGCCAACATGTATGTGAGTGAACTTGGAAGTGGATTATTCTTAGTCTTCAGATGAGACCAACTCCTTGACTTCAGTCTTATGAGAGATCTTGAGTAATTGGACCCAGAAAAACTGAGAAAATACATGTTTGTTTTCAGCTAAGTGGACAGTTTATTACAAAGCACTAGATAAGTAATACAATGATTGTGAGTGTCAAATGCCTATTATTTTTAGAATCTATTGGAAACATTTAAATTGATAAAATACTTTTAATTTTAAAATGAAATCTTCAATAAGCTTGAAATTACATCATTTGCAGCTATTTGAGCTTATGAGAAAACTTTTTAGAGGGCAACTTAGAATGTATATGGGTTTCATAATTTTTCTATATTATTTTGGGGAGTACATGAGTTAAAAATTAGCAATGTCCTCACAATATTGGGCAACCCTCATTTCTATGGGATAGTGAAAGATGTTAAGGGAAAAAATTAAGAGTGAAATGGGAACTAGATGGTTAAATTTCCTGCCTTAAAGAACTAAATGTAATACTTAAGCCAAGCTAGAAAGCATAACTAAAATAATAAGCTATACCAACTGAGAGCTTACAGTGAGTGATACATGTCACCTCATTTAGTTATCACAACAACCCTTGGAGGGAGATGTTATCATTATGGAGATTTGAGGGGGCCAATTCATTATACCCCGTGTTGTTTTGTTCAGTTGAACTTACAGAAGAGCACCTGTTTATCCAGTCATTTGTACATTGGAGCCAATATCCATTTATGGGACAATTCTACCCATTTATCCCATTAATCTAAAGGATAATCAAGGGGCCATGAGTGCATGTGCTATAATCCTGCCTAAGAGCTTAAAGTGGACAAATAGGTATCATCACACAAGTAAAAAGCATGAGGCTTAGGCTCAGTGCTACATCTCTGATCTGAGGATTGTGTTAACAGCTCTGTCGTTTTGGAAGAGAAGGAGAATGATTATTGCATTTTCTACTATGCTCAGATTATATCAATCACGATAGATTTTTGTCTCTCTACAT